TGTCGCCAAAGATGCCGCACGTTCAAGAAGGCTGTTTTGGCTTTTGAAATATGTAAACTGACATCAGTTACTATGTGCATATCGTTGCTGATGCAGCTGCCAAGATAAGTGAATCGATCAAGCAACTCAAGCTCCTCGATATCAAGCGGGTACTGTAACAATAATTTGTACTTTGAAAATGCGAAGCGCATACCAAATAATGGGACCACTCTAGACAGGCTATTCAGGGTTGATTGTGCCACTGCAACATCGTCGAGAAGCAAGACGATATCGTCCGCATAATCAAGATAAACTAACCTTTCACCAGGTAGGACCTCAACGCCTACATCGTGAGATTCCGTGAGGGAACATTTAATGACGAAATTGAACAAAAACGGGGAAATCGGACAGCCCTGACGGACGGAAAGCTACCTGACAGGTCACCGTAGACCCCGACGCTGTCTGTAGTGTTCGAGTATAGAGCACATAAGATGATCACAGATTTCATGAGAACACCTGTCCGCGAAAGTAGTTCGAAAAGAATGCATCGAACGACTGAATCGGACCCACTCTTGAAGTCAAGGAAAACAGCTATTGTCGACCTGCGATATGCGTGGCGCTGCTCTAGCACCAGTCACCGAGTGAATACAAGTTCTATGTCCTGGGCGGAAACCTACCTACTTTTCCATAATCCGATCGGTGGCCGAGTAGTCTGCGCGTCTGGTTTTCAACCATAAGGTCACCGGTTCGAGTGCACGTAGGCGCGAGCGTCCTCGCGGTATACTCAGCCCACGCGCGATTGCTGGAGGTCGCGTGGCAGCGAAGCGCCGTTACGGCGTCTAGCTGGCGAGTCCCGTTCCATAGTGAGGCGACAAACGAGAATCGAGGCCAGTAATTTTTTCACAAGTGGCGTTAGGCTAATACCCCTGTGGTTAGCAGTCTGTGTGACTGCCGTTCTTGTATATTGCCACTATAATCAATTCGCTCCAATTATCCGGGACACTCTCTTCCTTCCAGATATGTTCGAATAGAGGTCAGTGCTTTGCAGAGGACCTCACCTCCACCCACAAATAGTGCAGGTGGGAGGGAATCCGGGCCAGGGGCACGAAAACGATTAAGGGCTGTGATGGCGTTTCGGACCTCGGCCTTCGACGGACTACCTAAACTAACCGACCATGGCTCTTCCTGCATGACTTGTGTAAAAAGAGGTCCGGGGGCAAGGGGCCAACTGAACTGATCTTGAAAGCGTTCCGCTCCTTACTGTGTATCCGTGCACCCGAGCTGTCTCTGATTGTCTCACTGACGCCTGGTTGCCTGAAGACAGTGGTGCGGATCAGCTGGAAGAGATGGCGGTAAGTGTTTACTGCTCCTGCCTCCTCCACTTCATGAGCCCGACTGGTCCACCAGGCTTCCTTGTCAGCACGTAGGCTCCGCTTCAGCTCACGTCCGTCTGGTTACATTCCTTTCAGAGCCAGCCAGGAGGTTTCTTCAGGTTCACCGACCTCTCGGATATCCAGTGACTGGTGCGGTGACGATGGATAGTGCCACAAGCAGATGCTCCTGCCTCGTTCATGGCGGCTGAGGTCCTATTCCACTGAAGCTCAGTGTCATTAGGACAAGACAGCGAGAGTTCGGTGCGCAGTGTGTCTTGATAGGCTTGCCTGACCGAAGGCTGAGACAATTTTTCAGTTGCCAACTGGAGGAGACGCTTGGTGCCCCTCCCGGTAAAGTTCATCAGGAAACGACAGCCTACCAAGGCATGATCAGAGTCGATGTAGGTACTCCAGTATGAGCGGCAATCCACGATGGAACCACGCCATCTATAACTTATGGCTAGGTGTTCAATTTAGGTCCATCGCTGGCCAAATACAAGAGGACGCCAAGTAGCACTTCGGACCCCACTGTGTCTAAAAGCAGTGCAACTAAGAAACAACTGGTGCTCAGCACACAGCTGCAGCAGACGCGCACCGTTGTCAGTCTCTTGGGATTTAAGCCCATAATTACCACCCAGATGAGCTTCTGAAGAGCTCAGACGCCCTACTTGTGCGTTCATAGACCCCGCAAGTACTATTCTATCTGAACTAGTAGCACTGCGTAGTAGGATGTTCGGTTCGTGATAGAACTACAGTCGGTGGGAGCATAAACGGAAATCACAAACAAACAGCCTTTTGCATTGCTTCCTGAATCCACCTTAGCTGATGTCGTCAAACGGTCTGTAAATAAACGGCTGTTCACCGGAATCCAATCAATCAACGATGATTCAGCATTGGAGGTTAGAATGATGCCTACCCAAGCCTGACTCGTGGATGCTGCATCGGTCTCCAAATGCGTGCAACCAATAATGAGGGGGTTAGCAGGGTGCAGTTAATTTAACAACCCCATTAGAGTCAATGATTCTAGTTTCGGACATACAACACATATCAATACCCAGTGCGTCCAACGTGCGTGCGAGTGCAGCTTGTTGACCTGTTTGTCTTAGAGTGCGAACGTTGAATGTCGCCATGGAAACGGGATAGTGTGGCCTTATAAGGGGCTTTTGTTGATAGGCGTCCGATAGGTGCGGTGGGATGGTGGCCGCAGATGGTTTTACTCCAGTGGCACTTCGGTTTCTATCAATTAAGCTGGGAATTATAGAAGGAAGGTTAATAATGGGGGTCGGGATGAAAGTAAGAGAAAAAAGGTGGAAAAAAAGAAGGGAGGCGCAAGCAGAAGCATGTTTTCGCTTATCCGCCCTTCTGTACGCAGCAGATAAGGCGACGCTTGAAAATCTGCGCGACGGCCGATGCAGGATGAAGTTTATGTTTGAAGAAAATGTCACGGTTGTATGTGGGATGGGATACTGCCAGGGCGCCCAGACCTAAACAGGAGAACGATTAGGGTCCTCATCCAAAGCCTTTGGCTCAAAAGCCTGTCCGCAAGGCAGTGAAGAGGTGGCAATGATTTATTTTTACAGAAATGGACGCCATCCCATTTCAAACGCCCAACCTAGAGGACCAGGAGACTGCGTTTATTTGGCCTCACGCCAATAACTGAACTGGTAGGAGTAGTTCTCAAGGTGCCTGGAGGCATCACCCAGTATAGCTCAATGGGTCAAGGAATTATTGAAGCGAACCGGGTACTGTAAATACCTTAGGAGACCACTCTATAAGAGTGAGATATCACAGGACTCAGGGAGAAATGACGCCAAGCGTTTGAGAGATGATCCGGATTCTATGTTGGTACAGATGGTAAAGCAAGACATAAACTATGGTTGATTAGCAGAAAACTTGCAAATAATGAAAGCAAAGAAGAGAGAAAAGCACAAACGATATGGCTATGAGGAATGGTAATTCCGGAGCTTCATTTTGAGGGCACACATCTATAGCCGCAGATTCAATGCGCCGTCACTCAAGACAATGGAGATCAGCCGCAGATAGAGAGCCAGTCACATAGATTCTCGGAGTAGCTAAACCGATACCCAAGCAGATGATAAACCTGTGACTGCCGCTAACTAAAGATGAGCTTTGTCAGACTTGTAGCATAGTGGTAAGGAGCCGTCTGGTTTGTGACTGTGAAAAACCAGTGGAAAACAGTGGTTCTCCAAGCTGAGGTATTTTGTAAACGTATCGTTACCATAACAGGCAACATCGCCAGTGCAACTTCCCTGAACGTTACCCAGTCTAGTGAGAAGTTGACAAACGAATCGCTGAGCTAGGAAAACGCCGCACTACACTTATACACATCTAAGTAGTTATTTTTATGAACAGTTGGGTCAAGTTTCTAGTCAAAAATCTGTCGTCTACAATTGCCAGATTTTACGGAAGAGGGCCATTGACAACATCTGGACCTCAAATGGGAAGGAAGCATGAACGAAATTTGTTTAACGCATAGCTAATCCATCAATAGGTACGAGTGGTTCCAGAGAAGAAGTAGGAGAGTTACTCACGTAGACGCACACACAAAAAACAAGTACACAGACAACCGTAGCATAACAAAGTGAAATCTCGTGGTGACAAGCACAAGCGATGAAACAGCCTCTGAGGAGAGGCTCCAAATCCAATAGCTGCCCGCAATACGCTGGTACACCGTAATGGCGACCATCATCAGTAGCGTGTGGGTTGGGGATAATGCGACGTCGGTCGCACCATGCAGCCTCGGCGATCTGTGGATTATAAGCCAAATATCTATCGGCCATCGCAAGACATTGGATTTGAGAGAATAAGTCAATCTGAAGAGAGATTAAGTGTCTGATAAGTACAGTTCAGTCATTCGGACAACCGAACAGAGTAGTTCATGATCATCCAAGCACAAAGCTGGAGATAAAGGAGAGAGGAGAAATCAGCATTATGTCGGTGGGTCGTACAGACGCGTTGCCCGAAATGCGACCATCACCGGACTCGAAAAGATGACTTCTAGAATAAAAGCCAAAGGAAAAGCACAGATATCGCGAAGAAAACCCGGAGGGTAAAATCACATAATACTTACACAACCATGAAAATCGTAGTGAGGGGAGAGTATAAGCCCAATACACCAATCAACGGCAAAGGGTGCCAAAAGTAACTTCGAGATAGATAAATAAACTGCATGTGTATCGTTCCCCGATCTAACGCGTAGCCAATTACCCCGAAATCAAAACAAGTTTGTACCGCAATGTCGATACAACATCTCGGATTGAAATCGCAGTAACACGACCGCTACCAGAACATTCAGTGATACATGAGCATGTTCCAATTGGCTTGGAAGACGAGGCGTTAGGGTGTCCACTATTCAATGGACGAACACTAAATTAAAGAAAAAAAAACAAGAACCAAGTTAACAAGGCAGATGACAGAAAAGTCGCAAGTATTGTATAAAGTTAACCTTTAAAAAAGATTTTAGCGAGAAACGACTAACTTTAATGAGTAATGTCCCAAAAAGCGTTCCTTCCAGAGGTTAAGGTAGCGGTAAGAATAAGAGTGGAAATAAGCCAAAAAAATTACGTCTAAAATATGAGGACATAGTTAAAAAAAGGAGAAATCCGCAATGAAATTACTCCACCTCACCTCACGAGCGACGAACATGCACAGAGGGATCACCACCAGATATATCCAATTCAGGTCGTGAATCCATGCGAAAAAGTCTCGCTTTGTCTGTGGTTCACGGAATTTGGTGTACCATCCAAGAGATGTTTCACTCGGATACCATCGAACTCTAGTAAAATGTAGGTATAAGTGGCAACAAGAAAATAGGTGGTTAAGAGGAGAACCAAAGGTGACGTCTACATCTGAATGTGGATACAGGAAAATGATAACTAGACGCAGCTAATACCGAAATCGGAATATATTGCCACAAATCCTGTGAACACTAAGTTTGAAGATATGGCTGCACCCCTAGGAAGTAGATAAGCCACATTTGGTACACAGTCGGTGAAAGATAAGTTTTGACAGCCGGTGCCCCAGGACGACACAAATAGGGGGAAACGTGTAAAGTCGTCAGACCTAACCAATAACCAGCAACAATGTCCTTCATGTGCATGGAGCAATACGACTTGTGAGCACTTACGTCTTGATCCCACTTTAGCTTATGAACCGTTGCATAGGTCTCCTTGCAGGAAGGCTGTTGCTTAACCTTGTTTATAACAGAACATTTAGAAACCGAATTAGCTTTATTACGTGCCCCCTACTCAACATTATTAGAACCGGTCAGTACGACTAAAACAATATTGAAACAGCCAAGAGTAGTAAAACTGTTCCAGTTTGAAGAAAATGCGGAAAGAACTGGTGATTAAAACAGTGAACGGGCCTCCAGCATGTGTGATGCATGTTAAGTGAGCCGAATAAACGAAAACATAAGAAATACAGTGCAAACTGATTTCCTGATGGACTAGATGTCAATCTACAGAGTTTAGGCTCACATTGAGTTAAAGAAGTAAGACCAGAGCACCGAAGTGTGACACGTGATGCATTCTATCTCCCTTTCCACGTTGTTATTGATTCTTGTTATGAAAAATGAGGTAGAAAACAGCGCATAAGGAAAAAGGGGTCAAATAAAAAGTGAGTAAAACTAATCAGGATGAATTGATAATGGTTAGATGCAAAAGAGTGAATATAGAGACTTCACTGGTAGCTCGACTGCGCAGTGTTCGAAGTCTCAACTACCGAAGTGGCCCATCCTGATGCCCTATGTAGGAATACAACACGCATCAGCCCAAGCAAGTTTTTCGGTCAATTTCTTCATGCCGTTATGCTGTGTCACTGATTGTCCATCTAGTGGTTTCGCCCAATCGAATGCAGAAACAATATACAATGCAAGCCGACGAAGGTGATTACCAACTATAAAACGAGTGAGCAGGACATGACCAAGAGGAAATGGTTACCAAATGAGAGCTAGATATAATGCAGATAGACGGAAGCAGAGGCCCTGTTGACTTCCAATATGGTTGGGCCTTGATTTTTACAGATGTAAAAGCGTTTCAAAATGACGTAACCGATGTCACAAACCTATCTACGATCCCGCTTGACTAAGCATAGTAGCATACAAGGACCAATGTTGCAGTCTCTAATACAGTAATTCCGATACCAAGCAACTAAGAGTAGTTGAACGAATATTAATCTAGAATGGGATAATAGATTGGAATGATCAGAAACATGAGGCAGTAATCAGTGTCAACATTCACCCGACCGAGTAACTACTGGTAAGCGCCTATAAAGGAGATGACATCTACAGTGACTTACAACCTGATTCCACTGACATATCCGCCCCACAAATGGCGCATCAAGTAGGGGTGTAATATGACCAGGTTTATGCCTCTCAAGTTACTTGTATCCCTCATGGTCTACTTTTGAAAGGTAAATTGATGCTATCGACTAGGGATTATCTCAGGAGAAATGTCCATTGAAGGCCCTAACAAGATGAATTCATCAAGCTTTGGCTTCAGGTCGACCTGAAGCATTTGCCCCTGATCAGATGGACCGCTAAACTCCTTTAAACTGCGCATCCTGATGTTAGACGGGTGTCGTGCCGGCGTAGTGAATCATGAAGATACAAAGTGCCTCACGAAAGGAACAGATGAACAGAGCAGGCGATATCGAGATGGAAAGGGATTGGCGATGTCGACCCATGGTAGACAAATTCCATACTTAGGATCAGACTTGTGCAAAAAATGAACGGAACTAATAGATTTAAATACCATTGTCCGTTGAACAATTTAAAAAACCTTGGGTTATTTGTAATGGACAGTTGTGCCTACTGTGATGAATGGGTGATAGGTTTACCGTATGCCTTAAAGAATACCCGATCAAAAGGAAATGTCCACTGCACTTCGGTACCGATAAATAAGGTAATAAAGAATCCGCAGTGCGGCCCCTCAGTTGTTTGGTTAGAAAGCTTTAAGTCCAGTATTCGAATCCCCGATCCAGCATGACTTTGGGTGCCCTTGCAGTATCTCAGCTCGCGAGATACTGCTTAAAACTTGTATGTCAGCAAAGCATCGGTAAGTAGTACCGGTGTATCGCCGAGATCTTGTAAGAAATATGTGCTATGCTGCTCCAGTAAACCGAACAGAACGAGGAAACAGCCAACACACTAGTGGCAAGCTGCGAAGCCAAAGTGTTTCTACTTATTGGCGATTCACACTCTACTGAACTCAGTCGGTCTCTTTCAACACAGTGCATTCCAATTTAAAGACACAGGACGTTTCGGTGTTGCCCTCCCCTATCACAACACTCCGCGACGCGTTTCGTCCTTGTCTGGGCGCATAAGGTAGACGTAGCTTGAGATAGGAATGGAACTCGACACAAAGTGCTAGGCGGCTATCGCCAAGACCCCTAGACCATGGGGCGGCGCGAGCAGTGCTTGACACAAAAAGCGACAATCAACATGGGACATTTCCTTAGATAACTAAATAAAAGTAATACTTACGAAACATCGAAAAGTCAACCGATTCTCAAACCTGGATTTGGGTGCGGAGCCACAGTGAATGACACAATGTATATGGAAGAAGTGTTGTGTCTTCACGTTTTCCCGCTATTCCGGATTCTAACTCAGCCGAAAAAAAATCAAAAGTTCAACGAGCATGACCACGAAAAAGGTTAACAAAAACGCTGCCAACGTAACAAAAAATGCTGCCAAAACGCTGTAGCACTACGCCAATATATATGGGACTCAATGACCTTCGGCTTCTAGAAAACGAAAGTGAACTGGTAAAATTGGTGGCCTCCCTGCCAAAACTCGTACGTTGGCGATCATGTGAAGGAATGGAAGGTTCCGGAATCTTCGAAACCAATGCACGATCGAAGATAATCGATTAAGTGCTAAAATAATGGTTTACCTTTATGTGTTTAGCTTTTCCCGGATAGCTCCTATCCTGAAACGGCTGCCGCGGTGTATGATGCTAGCCTGGGATGGACCTGAAGCTTCCTGGAAGGGGTTCTACGCCTATCGGTCCATCACCTGGGCTGTGGTGTTCTGGATTCAAATTCCGTGCTCTGCGGTCTGGTATCATTCGTCTGATGACAGGATTCTTCTACCGGCTTTTTAGGCAAGTTGAAGCTGTCTGTCAACAGGTCAAATGGAAGATCGGCGGATTCTGTTGCTTGTGGCTGAAACATTCTTGGTCGCAGTTGATTTGCATGGCGTACCCATACCTGCGATCCAACCGGCACGTTGTAAATGACGTTCCCGCGCTTGCCTTGGATCGTGCCTGACTTTCATTTTGCGTGTCCATCCCGATAACCAAGTACAAATACTGGCTGACCCGGTTTAAACGAACGTCGTTCAGCACCATACTGCCGACTAAAGTCACGCTCCATCATGAGGTTCCTTTCACCAGCTGTGGACTGTGAAAACGGTCAAACTGCTTCAAATGGCATGCGAAGCTTTCTCTTCATCATTACCTCTGCTGGTGATATTCCGCCTAGCGTTTGTAAATTTTGTGTAGATCGGCACAGAAAGAGGAAGCGGTCGATCACCTCCTCTATGTCTCCCACCCTTCTTGATTTGAGGAAAGCGCGTTTGAATGTATCCACGAACCTCTCCGCTTGGCCGTCCGATTGTGGGTGGAATGGTGGAGACCGCACGTGTTTGATGGCGCAGAGTTGGCAGAACTCCGTGAATGTAGCCGAAGTAAACTGTGCTCCATTGTCCGTCACCAATGTTTCAGGGCAGCCGAACCTGCTGAAGATTTGCCGCAACCTCGAGACTGTTGCGCTGGTTTTCGTGCTGCTTCTGAGGGACACTTCGGGCCACTTGCTGTAAGCGTCGACCACTATGAAAAAGTTCTGGCCATTGATTGGGCCTGCAAAATCGACATGAACACGGCTCCAAGGTTTAGCTGGTTTAGGCCACGAGTGGAGTTCAGTCTTCGGCGGTGCTCTTGAAGCGGTAGCGCAGTTGCCACAACTAGCTAGCTGCTCCAGATGTCTACCCACAAAGGGCCAGTACATATAACTTCGGGCAAGCGCTTTCATTCGGTTGAGTCCTGGATGTCCTGCATGGAACTGCCGCAGCACTCCACGTTGCAACGCCTGCGGGATGACTACTCTCTCTGAAAACCTGACACAATCGTTCACAATGCAGAGCGAATGTCTTCGCTGATAGACCTGTTGCATGTCGGCAGATGAACACGAACGTGGCCAGCTGGTTTTGTGGAAGTATGCAACCTTCTTCAAATTTGGGTCTCGAAGCGTTTCGGCCAGCACGGCATCGGCCGTAACTGGCAGACCATGTAGTGCCTCACCAGGAATTTGACAGCAGGTTCGATCTCAACTGAGGCAATGATGGTGTCCTCGTGCTCATGCTGCTGGGAATCAATGAGGCGTAACAACACATCTGTCTGGTCAATCGAATCCTCGGGCTGATAACGGATTTCAAAATCATAGCCCAGCAAGGTAAGTGCGACCACACAGTATCTTGTGAAATTTCTTCACAGCAAACACTATGGCCAATGGCTCCTTCTCGATCTGACTGTAGTTTCTTTCGGCTTTCGTCAGCGTCCTGGCGGCATGTGCGATCGACTTCTGAGATCCATCTGGGAACGTATGGGAAACTACGGCACCGATCCATAGACTCGATACGTCTGTGAAGAGGACAATTTCCCGGGAGGGATCAAAGTGAGTCAGGAGCAGGTCTGAAGCTAGCAATGACTTGACCCGCTCGAACGCAGCCTGGCATTCTAGCGCCCAATCCCAGGTTTGTCCCTTGCTCAGCAACTT